TGACACGCGTGTCATAGGTTCGCCATCACTGCCTTATATTATAAGCTCACATATGAAAGGATAGCTCTTCCACAATTATTTAGAAAGCACTGAATCAAATATATCTTGGCAACAGTATTTTCAACCTTCTTGGGACAAAGGACCTATGAAGAAAATAGAACAAAAAGTAAACAATTCATGGTACATACCATTTTCCTTTGGGTTTGGTCGTGAGATCCACACAAGCAAAGTGAAACCATTCAATTGGACACTATATTGGGGGTTGAAAAAAAGATGAATGCCTTTTTGTTTTCCTCATCAGTCTTATGAGCAACATGAATTTGGCTACCTAGTCCTTCCATATCATATGCAGAATAGCAAATTTTATTACTATATTCTTGCAAAATGCTGACATTGTGGAATTACTTGGCTTATTCTTTACAGCAAAGGAAACAGGAGTGCATTATCTGATGATATGTTCATGATTTCATAGTAATATGTATTCTGTGTATTTGTAAGAGCTATGTAATATAAAATATGGAGCAATGATATGCAGAGAATGTTAATGTATAGATTTAAAATTAAAAAATATAATTGAACTTTTCCAAAATTGTGTAACAAATAAAGTCTGCAGAAACTCTCCATGGTGTTACTATGACTGATTTTTTTTTTGCTTTGCATCTTCTTTTTCTTTCCTTCAAACCTAAATATCAGTGTAATTTTAAATAGCTCCTACAGTGCTGCTTCTTCCACATTTGCAATACAAATTTTTGCAAAATAAATTGTATTTTCTGGAAGGGTACAAGATAACTCAATGTTCCAACACTTTTCAAGAACTAGGGATGGGTTTGTGATTTTATGAAGAATCCTATACTGGACTAGCAGTTGTTTTTTGTTTAGACAGCAAATTTCAACTCATAGTACAAATGAATACCATTTGTCATATTTTGGTTGATTTCAATACTCACATCAGGGTTATCACACCCAATCATTTCTCCGTAAGATACTTGATGACACAAGCAGTATGTGGGCTCATTGGGATCCACTGGCATGTCCAAGACATCAGAAGGGTGAACCGATAGGATGGTATCAGCTAATTCAGATCTGCTATGATATAAATTCAATGGAACTGGGTGAATGGAAGTGACTCAGTAATTCACAATGTTAAGAGTTTGTCTTTAACTAGAAGGGGTTTAAAAACTGAATTAAAGTCTTGCCAAACTAACTCTATTGCATTTTTTAAAATCAACAAATATCCTTAATGAATTATGAGAATGCATCCTATATCATGATTTCAGCAAAACATCTGAAAAAGTATTCCATGATATTCTGATTAGCAAGTTGGCAAGAATCTGGATAGGTTGACAATTAAGTAGTCAATATCCCTTCTATTTCTCAACATTTTTATTAATGACTTGAAAGAAAAGATGAGAGCAAGCTTAAAAGCCTGCAGACAAAATAAAATAGTACAAGTAGTCCTTGACTTACAACCATTTGTTTAGTGACCATTCAGTTAGAACGGCACTGACAAAAGTAACATAATCATTTTTCACATTTACAACTATTGTAGCATTCCCATGGTCACATGATCAACATTTAGATGCTTGGCAACTGACTCATGATAGTTGCAGTGTCCTGGGTTCATGTGATCGCCCTTGCGACTAAATGACAAGCAAAGTCAATGGAAAGCAAACCAGATTCAGTTAACAACTGTGTTGCTAAATTAACAACTGCAGTGATTCACTTAGCAACTGTGGCAGGAAAGGTTGTAAAATGAGGCAAAACTCACTTAACGGTCTCACTAAGTACAATTTTTTTTAGGCTCAGTTGCGATCCTAAGTCGAGGACTACTGTATCACTAATGTTTCAAAGCCAGAAATAAAATTTAATACAATATTAATAAACAAGAAAGAGTTCAAGATACTGCAATGGGTTCAGAAAGGCTATGAGAGTGATCAAAGAGCTGGAAAGTAAATTCTATGAAGAGAGACTATTTCGGTATGTTTTATTCTTTAGAAAAAAGAAGATGAACAAGACAAGACTTGAAATCCCTGGAATAACATTTCAGGATACAAATATGTATGACTTCATGTTTAAATGTTATTATCAACAGATCTTTTTCAAAGATGATACATAGCAGAAAGACACCATCATTGGTTTTTGAATAGCTTAAACAATTTTCTGTACTGTTTTGCCTTGCTCCCACTCATAAATTCATGCCACCCAATAAAAATATTCTCTTCCACTTTATTCAATGCAGCATAAGACAAAGTGTCACAAACCTATGGTTTTCTATTTCAATGTGCATTTGCAATCATTTAGATGATGCCATTGGTATCTTTATGATACCTAGTTTCATTCATAATTAAACTTACAACTTAATCTCATTGTAGTATCCATCAGCCCCATTGCACAAGATGTGATCGATCACCTTCATTCAGATCTATTACATAATTATCAATGTTCTTTCATTCATTTCACTCCTTAATGCTTTCTATTTATTCCTTGTACATTCCAAACTGCAATCTTTTGTAAGCAGTGGGCATCACCAGACTGGCCCACAGATATTAACCTTTGTTGTCCACCATAGCTTTGGTCAAGCAAAGCTTTCACATGCCCCAACACTGGAAGTCTTTAAGAAGATGTTGGATAGCCATTTGTCTGAAACAGTATAGGGTTTCCTGCCTAGGCAGGGGTTTGGACTAGAAGACCTCCAAGGTCCCTTCCAACTCTGCTATTGTATTGTATTGTATTGGTTACAGTAAGCCTCTCTTTTTTGAATTCAGCAGATATAGAAATTGAATGAATGAATGGATGTCCCTATTGTGTTAATTACTACATTGGAAACGGGTCTTTTCCAATAAAATAGTGGAAGACATACCTCTGCAGTTAAAGAGCTAATGAGATGCATTTATATTTATACATTTCAAAAGGGAAGAAAAAATGATATAAGAAAGGAAGGTGATTGGCTGTGAAAATTAAAATGGTCCAAATGACATCCTGATGTCTCCAGTGTAGATCCATGTCAGGTGGATCAATGAGTTGAGGTGACAGTCACTTCTTGGCATACA